TGAGATTCTGTCTCAAAAAAGCCCAACCAAACAAAATCCCCTCTCTTTCCACCCTAGCACTACAGATGTGTGCTCTGACCCTCGAGTTGTACACTCTCCCAATTATTCTAGATATAATTAAAACAAACAAATCCACGGGTCCCAAACAGGATAGGTCGAATCTGTGCATGTGATATTCATGGGTAAGGAGGGTCCGTGATATTTGAAACAGGCAAACTCAGCTGTGTCCAAAGGCAGAAGAGGGAGGCAGGGAGGATATGGTCATCTTGGCCTTGGAGAGGTCCTAAGGATGCCTACTTGTCAGACAGCAGAGCCTATGCAGGGCTGGGCAGGCTTCACAGAGGAGCTTTTGGCCTCAACAGTGGTGTTTATATTCAATACTCTCATTCTCTTCCCCTGTCCAGTAAACCTTCTACATATGAGAAGATGACCAATCAAGATGTATTTGGGAGCCTGGGAGATGTCGCAGCAGGTAAGGGCTTGTTATACAAGCTTATGAACTCTCATTGGAAAGTTGGTTCAGAAGTGTATGGCATTTTGCTATGCCCTCTCCCTTAATCTTTTATAACAGAGGCTGGTAGTCAAAGACAGTACAATATTTTTGCCTACAGTCTATCTAAGAGAGGACATTGGATGGAATTTAGGTAAGGCTATAAGGCTAAAAGATTTAAAAGAACAACCTAAGACAGACACAATCATCCGTCCTGTAGCAGAAGCACGGGCTTTATTAAAACATTTAAAAAGAGAGGATCTATGGGAGCCCATAGAAGTCTTGACTTAGGGTTAGAGAGGTCAAGCTTGTTTTGCTCTGTCACGGTCAAACAACAGACCTAAGGTGAAGTTGATAAGTGTCTTGCCTAGGTAACAGGATGTTTGGCCTAAGGTGTAGCTACTGGATGTTTTGATCCTCAATGTTTTGAACTCTTGCTTGCTCCTTGTAGCAGGATTTTTTTTTTTAAAAAAGTCTTTTTGCCCTTCCCTTTGGCTTGGGGTATAAAAGGGCTATGAAAACTAACCTGGAAGCTGCAGTAGTCACCAACAGTCCCCCCAGATCTATCCTGTTTATTTCTTTTGTATTTCTGTTATTTCTACCTGCAATTTCTCAATCCACATGCCTCCCTACAAGCAAGAATGAACAAGCCAGGAGGGACCCAGCAGCAGACATCGTTGCCCGGACACAGGCTACGACAGCCCAGGTAAACCTTCGACGTATGAGAAGATGTCACCAACCGACATGTATTTGGGAGCGTGGGAGATGTCACAGCAGGTAAGAGCTTGCTATACAAGTTGGATGACCTGAGCTCCTGGAATACACATGATAGAAGGAGAGAACTGACTTAAGTGGTCATCGGGTAGCTACAGGTTCAGTGTTGTGGCACATAACCCTCATGCCCCCAGAATCCAGAAGGCTAAGGCAAGAGGTTCATGAACTTAAGGCCACCCTGAGCTATGTAGTGAGACCCTGTCTCAAAAGACAAGAAGGAGAAAAAGAAAAAGAAAAAAAGATTCGTTTCTTCAACAGAACCATGGCCGTTGAGAGGACTGAAGCAGTTCACCAACCAAACACATAGTGAAAACCTCCTGTGTACAGCGCGTAGAGGTCTGATACACACCATTCCAGTCTCACCTCTGCCAGCTGTAGACAGTAGACCCAGAAAGCAGATGAGGACATGACCTACAAAGACTCAGTTCCAGGCCCCGGGTCACACATGTAAGTAAGTGGTGGGGTCAGGAGGAGGAAGGCAGCGAGCTAGGGAGAGACTATGGAAAGCCTCTCTCTCTGCACTGCATGTAGCATCATAGCTGACAGTTCCAGGCTTCCTGCCTCCAGTGTCTGTGACAGCAGTAGCTATTCTGGTTTCCATCTCCCTGTTTATAAAAATAAAGTGCTTGAGAAACGCGTCTCCCAAGTGTCCTCCACGTACTGGATGCTTCGTCATGGTGTTTTCCCGGTGCAGAAGCTCTACTGGCCCAGTTCTTTCTGTCTACCTCTCAGAGCTCCTCAGGGCACTCGGCGTCCCCTGGGCTCGCCCCCTAGAGGACGTCTGTGGCGCTGCAGGGGCCAGGCTCTTCGGGGAGAATTTATGCCTCAGACCAAGTCAACACAGTCACATGGTAAAGCCAACTTTAATTACTGCTTTCCCTTTGTGAAAATCATGGATCAAGAACACGTTCTCACAGCCCTTCCCACGCTCGCAGGGCATGGCTTCTGAAACATTTAACGAACGGTGCAGTTGCAGCTTGAAGAGCCACTGGATTGTTTTAAAATTGGACTCTATTTTATACTCCCCACCACTCAGTTTCTTTTAGGTCGTAGGAGACCCATTTGTTGATCCAGTAATCATCTTGAAGAGCTGACAAGTGGTGGTTATAAAGTATAGCATATGTCTGTAGTTATTCTATATTTTTTTTTATTTTTTAGTTTTTCGAGGCAGGGTTTCTTCTTGTAGCTTTAGATACTGTCCTGAAACTCGCTCTGTTTCAGGATACTGTCTCGAACTCACAGAGATCCGCCTGCCTCTGCCTCCCGATCGCTGGGATTAAAGGCGTGCACCACCACTGCCCAGCCTCTAGTTATTTTATTAAAACAATTTTTTGTGTTGTTAGGTAATATCTGCAATGCGATAGAGCACTGAACACTAAGGGTTTTGGCTGCACACAGTGTCCATAGTGCCAATCACAATCCCCAAAGTTGGCAGTAGCCCAGATGTCATCACTGCCTAGTGGCTATACCAATCAGTGAGATGGCTCAGTGAGGAAAGGACCTTGCTGCCAAGTCTGACCACCCACGCTCCATCCTGACCCCTGAGGGTTATCCTCTCCTGACCTCTACACGCACACAGTGATACCAGTAACCACCTCCTTCCTCAAACAGATTTTCTCCGCACAATGGAGCTTTACGTAGCCTTAGAAAAGAACGAAGAACTAATACAGTCTAAAATATAAATGGGCCTTGAGGACATGCCAAGTGAAGGCTGTATGCTATATTGTTATTTTTCTATGAAATATGGGAAAGAGGCAGATTCATAGAGATGTAAAGCAAGGTTAGTGGTAGCCAGGGGCTAGGGGTGACATGAAACAGGAAATGATTTTTCATGAATATGGGGGTCTCCTTTGGAGGGAGGCAATGTCCTGGAGTTAGACAGAAGTTATGGTCACACACAGCTGTGAATGTACCAAAAGTCACTGTGCCAGGCCCTTGGAAATAGTTACAGCAGGATACATTTTATGCTGTGTGTATTTTTACCACAACAAAAGAAAGACATAAAGGGTACGTTCTCCTTTCTCCAGATGCCCTCCCTGAAGGAAAAAAATAAATGTTGTGTTTGTTCCCCGCCTTTCTGAGATTATTGTACCTGTGAGTGTGTGAATACATGTGTTTAGGTTTAGGCGTTCTTGGTAGTCTGTTTGTTCCTCAGCTCCTCCTCAATAATCCACAGTTCTCTTTTCTTTCCTCCTTATAGTTTACTCAGAACAATTGTCAATTTCTTTAAAAGGAATCAGGAAGAAGTTTTATTATCGAGCCAAAGTACACACTTCAGGAGTAGACACGCACATTTACACACACACACACACACACACACACACACACACACACACACACATATATATATATTTTTTTTGGTGCTAGAGATTGAACCTGTGAGGGCCAAGTGTTCTACTGAACTACAGCCCCAGACTTGTTGTGACATATCCAAACACAGTTTGGAAAAATCACATACTGAGAGGAAGATCAAATGAATGCATGGTTATTTGTTTAAAGGCTTCAAACAATGAGGCAAAAGTCCCTTAGCTGCTTACTAGGTGGCTATTTAAGTCTGCTCTCTCTAGTTCTTTCCCTTGGGTGAGTTTCTTCTGTACAGAAACTATCAGTTCCTGACCTTGGAAGTTCATATCTGCTTGCCTGGACCTTAGGGACTAAACTAGGGAAGCCATTGGGTGACGTCACACAATAGGAGCATAGGAAACTTTTTTGTTTTGTTTTGTTTTTCAAGACAGGGTTTCCTAGTATAGTGCTGGCTGTCCTGGAACTCACCCTGTAGACCAGGCTGGTTTTGAACACACAGACATCCATCGAGTGCTGGGTTCAAGGGCGTGGAGGGAAATTCTTAATATTTGACACCTCGAAAATGTTTTTTGATGCTAGCATGTAGACAGCCCAGGTGAGAAACTAGTCAGTGTGCCAGGTAAGAGCCTGCCTGGATACATGAGGTCTCACTGTACTGATTACTCCTAATGTGGGTAAGGACTGTAACGCAGGGACCTTTGATACTCTCTTCTCAGTTCACACTTTTTGCTTCAGATTTCTTTTTATTTTATGTTTACGAGTGTTTTGCCTGCATGTATGCATGTGCACCATGTGTATGCAGTGCTCATGGAGGTCAGAGAGGGTGTTAATCCTTTCTGGATAACATGAGTTACAAACAGTTGTGAGCCACCATGTGGGTGCTGGGAATTGACTCGGGGTCCTCTGAAAGAGTAGTCAGTGCTCTGAACAGCTGAGCCATCTCTCCAGATCCCAGCTCGGACCTCTTTGGCCACTTGTTCCCATCTGCTGAGAGAGTACACAATAGAGAGGCCATGTAAGTGTGCGGTATGTGGGTGATGGGGTGACTGGTGGTGGTGGCGGGTGGAGCCCACTGGGAAAGAGTTCCACTTACAGGGCTCATGGTCTACTTCCCGACAACCCACAGGACTATGTGCTGGTGAGGATAATTTCAGTGATCTATCTGACTTCTGGAAAGTTCTTCATCAAGCTTTGTAGCTAGAGATCAGGACAATAATTTTTATTTTACTTTTTATTTTGTTAGTTACTTTTGCTTGCCCTGAAGGGTTTTTAATTCCAGTAAAAAGGCTCAACTTTGAACATAAAACACACTTTAGGTTTGCGCTTGTGAATCTCTCAAGGGAAGATCTCCTTTGCTGGCTCCTCCGAGGAGCCTCTGTGCTTATCACATCCTGCGCTTGCGGGGTATTTTGCAACAGCATAAACATCACGGCAGAACAGGAAGTAGGCTTTTAATCTTTGGTCTGAAATCAAGTGTTTCAGAAAACGAGAAGGCTCCAGCTGGAGGAAGGCTTAATGTGTCACAAGTCACAACAGGAAGCTAGGTGACTCGGCTTCGCCGCTCCTGTCACGACGTCTGGGCAGGCTCATCCATTCGCCCATCCGGTAAGCACCTGTTTTGTGTGTGGCCTCAGTCACCACAACCAGTAGTCGGGCTGTTTGCATTTCTTCCCGTTAGACACAGTTCTTCGACTGTGTAATAATTTTGCTAAGATGGCAGCTCTGAAAGTGTGATCCAGGGGGCTGCAGGGTCTCTGAGGCCCTTTCAAGGAGTCTCCGGGGTTAAGACTGTCCTCATAATAGCCGTCCCTCTCTGTCGGTGTGTGTGGAGTTTTCAGGAGGCGGCATGACACATGCACACTTACCTGAAGGGTCTATTAAAATATTCCTCCTCTTCAATTACAGATCCGTGGGAAGCTGCCTCTTCCCCGTGTACCCCAGCCAAACCACATATGGAAACCCTGGTGCACAGATTCCAGCTGCCTTCTAGTAAGCTAGATCATCGAGGTTATTTTAAGATATTTATTTTATTTTTAGTTATGTGTGTGCGTGCGTGTGTGTGCACGCATGTGATTGCATGTGCCTGAGGAGACCAGAGGCATCAAATCCCCAGGAGCTGGAGTTACTGGCAGTTTTAAACAGAATTCAGACCCTCTGTAAAAGCAGTATGTGTGCTTTAACCACTGAGCTATCTCTCTCTAACCCCAGACAATAGAGATTTATGAAATATAAGACAGTGCCATTCCTTTCTCTAAACTTAGAGAGTAAAATTACTTTTCATAAACTATGTTGTGAATATGCTTTTATAGCAGCTGTTTTTCCCAGTTCTCTTTGTGTGTATACACTTTCACTCACGTGTGTGCAAGTGTGCATCTTCAGCTGTTAGTCCTCGGACACCATCGCTTTAAAAACATCTAAAGTGCAAATATTTATTAGACTGAAAAGAACAGAGCCAAAAGGCCCGGGAGAACCAATGCATGCACTTATTTCTTTATTTTGATTTACTGTATAGGCCTCTGTGTGTGTGCATTCACGGGCCGTCACATGTGTATGGGGGTCAGAGGTCAAACTGAGGAGTTGGTTCTCTCTCCCCACCATGTGTGTCCTGGGAAACAAACTAAGTCATCAGTTTCAGTGGCAAGCATCCCTACCCGTGAGCCATCTTGCAGGCTCTCTAGTTGTGTGTGTGTGTGTGTGATGTGTGTAGGAAGTGCAGGCATGCATGTGTGTCATAATACACATGTGGAGGTGCGAGAACATCTTTCGGAAATCAGCTCTCTCTTTCCATGGTGATTCCAGGGACTGAACTCAAGTCATCAAGCTTGTGTGGCAAGCACTTTTACCTGCTAAGCCGTCTCATCCCCCCCCCCCCACTCCCACTGCAGTCTTTTTGAGACAGGGTCTCTCCCTGGCCTGGAACTTGCAGCATAGCCTAGGCTGCCTGGCCAGCAAGCTCCAGGAGTCCGCTAGCTTCTGCCTCCTTAGCACTAGGATTACAGACTTACTCCACTTTATTCTGCCATACTTGGTTTTTAAAATGTGAGTTTTGAAGATTGAACACTTCACTGACTGAGCTACCTCAGAAGCCCTCCATTTTTATTTCCTGAGATGTTGTCGATGTATTAAAATTTTCAAAGCTCGTCGGTTTGAGTTGTGCTCACCTACGCCTAACAAACCAGAGTCACTTCTGCCAAAGTGACATTATAAAGGCAAATGAGTGTATCCTCAGATAGGGCAGAGGGCTGTTTCTACCCAAAGAGCAGTGCCCATGCCCACGCTAAGTCCCCTGGCTTTTACCTGCACAGGGAAAGTGACTTTCAAAGGACCAGTGTCCTTTCAGTTCCCTTTTCTGTCCCAGGGCCATTTCCTGTCTGGAAGCCCGCCTCCTCTGCTCTCTTAAGGAAGCATTTGTTGTGTTTGTTAGAATACAGTGCTGCCTGAATGAAGACTCACAAATAAAAGTCAGATCAGAGCTGCAAACTTGCTGCGACTATGTGACCGCGTTTTTTAAAACAAGAACAAAAGATCTTTGGGCCTCTTTTTTCTTTTTTTTTTTTTTTTTTCAGGTGTGGTCTTAGTGTGCAGCTTAGGCTGTTCTTGAACCTGTGACTTTTATCTTAGCCTCGTGGGGATGGCACACGCTTTTGGTTCCAGCTCTCAGAAGGCAGGGACAGACAGGTCTCTGTGAGTTCAAGGACAGCCTGGTCTTCACAACAAGTTCCAGGACGGTCAGGGCTGCATAGTCCACGTAGTCCAGCCTTCTATCTCAAAAACATTAAGCAACCAAACAAACACAATGAAATTAGTAAAGTCACTGATAAAGTTCACTGATGTGAAAGACGCCATTGACGTGCAACTCTCTAACCCAGACCTACTAAATGAGGCAATGGCTATTTCAACACTAAAAGGAATTAAGCTTGATCACTCAGCCCCAGTTGGACAGGTGTGCTCTGAAGCAGCCTGTCTAGATACAGGCCATCAAACACACCTCAGCCCAGCTGAACTCTAGTGGAACCAACGATTCTGTGTGTCTGAAGGGAAGAGGGCACAACGCCAGTGCCACCTCGTAGGCTGGGTGTTTCCCTTTCTGCACCTTAGTCTGTGTGCCCCTGCTGGCTCTGCTGCCTGTGTAAAGAGCTGGTTTTGGAGGGAGAGTGTGCACCTCTGAGAGAGGGATGACGAGCCCCAGCAGGTTTCCACAGGATAAAGACGAGTGACTGTCAGAAGCAGGAGACAATGATCTGAAATGGACTGTCTGATGTGGGACACATAAGTCACAGTTGTGTCCTCGATGAGTAGGTCCTGAAAGATACCTGAGAGTGGCCTAACCCAGAGAGGTGCATATTGACATCCTCGGGGTGCAGAAAGGGAGGGAGCAAGAAAAATCAACCACTGTGATTAGTTGTTAAAAATCTGTGTCACAGAAGTTATACCAATTACACAGAAGGGTAAATTGAGGCCCAGAAGGCAGTATAATACTATGACCTTTGGAGGAAATCTGATTTATTTATTTTTGAGACAGGAGTCTCATATACCCTAGGCTAGCCTTGTTACATAGCCACAGATGACATTTGAACTTCCAGGTCTCCTGGTTTCACTTCCTGGGTGCTAGGATTACAGGTGTGTACACTACATACTGCATGTAAGCGGTTCCAGGAAGTGAACCAGGTCTTCCTGTGTGTTAAGCAAGCACTCTGCCAACTGAGCTGCAGCCTCAGGTGCAGATCTGGGCTCTATCACTGGCAGCAGCCTCTAATGTTGGCATAATTTGGGGTAACTGCTTATCCTCCTGACCCTCTAACGCCTCACCTGTGCATTGGACATCGTAACGCCCACTTCGCAGGTCTGTGAAGATTAACTACAAATAAAACCATGTACAGAACAAGCTTCTGGCACACAGGAACAGGTGCAGGCTGGATGTGACTATGTGACGTCCTCTCCCTGGCTCTAACCCAGGCAGGTCACAACCTCATTACAGGTCATCCAGCTCAGCCTGTTCTCTCGTCCCTGGCCTCCTGGATCACCCTGTCCAGGAATCAGCAGCCTGAAATCCTCCTGCTTTGGGGGAGACCACAGACCCCCCTAACCCTTACCACATAAAAAAGTGACCTCCGTGGTCCTGTCCAGTCCTAACCCCTTGCATATGCTTCAGCCTCACTGCCTCCCTCGTGCTACTCGCTGAAGCCTCCCCAGGGAGTGTCTCAGAGAAGCCCTGACTCGGCGTCGCCTCCTGCTGGCCGCGTGCTCTCTCACACAGAGGTTATGTCGGGTTTCCCCAGGCATGCCTGCCATCACACTTTAGCACAAATGTGTTGTGTGCTGCTGTCCTGTTCTGGGGCTCCTGTTTAGAATCCCAGGAGGCCAGGCTGGGTGGGCCTCATTCAAGGGACTTTTTCTTGATTCCCCATACAGGATGTCCCTGTTTTCCTTGTACCCTTCAGCAATTTCTCTTGTCTCTTTTCCACTAGTTCAGCCTTGTTACTTCAGGGCAAGTCCTCAGGGGATTCCCTGCTTTGCATAGATCAGCTGTGTTAGGTAGAAAAGGAGGAGAGAACCTTTTGGACTCCACGCCCTCCTACCCAGCTTTCAGAATGAATAATGGACTAGTATGAGGAGCTTGCTGGGTACCTTCTCTTCAGTTTCTCTATTGGTCCAACCTCAGAGGCAAGAGGAATGTTGGGAACATTGGCTTTCAGCAGATGGGGAACATTTTAAGGGCAGAAACTCTCTTTTTTTCTTTCTTTTGTAAACAGAACAATTGACTGGTGTTTAACACACACACACACACACACATACACACACACACACACAGGACTGTGGTGGCTGTGAGAAACCAACATGGGCCCACAGAACAAGAGCTACAGGAGTTAGCTGGGCGGTGGTGCGCACGTCTTTAATCCCAGCACTTGGGAGGTAGAGGCAGGTGGATCTCTGTGAGTTTAAGGCCAGCCTGGTCTACAGAGTAAATTCCAGGATAGTTAGGGTTAGACAGGGAAACCATGTCTCAAAACAAAACAAAACAAAAAGGTTACAAGGATTAAAAGGGGAAACCCCAGTCTCCCAGAAGGGGCCCTGCACTGTGAGCTTCTCCTCTCAGACCTGGGAGAACTCTCTCGGCTGCCACTGAGGAGCCTTGGCCCTTACGTGAAAGAGGTGCTCGGTCCTCTGCTTGTTTGATAGGACCTGGTGCTGTTCATTTAGACTTTGATTTATTTAACAACTGAGGTCAGGTGCTGGGGAAGGCTGCTGATGGCCAACTCCCCAGAAAACAGGTTCCTTAGTAACATAACTCCAAAAATAGAACCTAATTAACCAGCATTTAGATTGGGGCAAGAAACTGGGCCTGTACAATTGCACAGGCCTGCCATCCCAGTTACTCAGGAGGCGGTGACGGCAGGACTTCAAGTTCAAGGCCATCTTGGCCTACAGAGTGACTTCAATACCAACTCGGATAATTTATTGAGATCCTGTTTCACAATCAAAACTCAAAAGGCTCTATAAGAAATGGGGAGATGGCTTAATCATTAAGGTGCCTGCTGTGTTAACATGAAGGTTTGATTTCAATGCTCAGCATCCATGTACAGAAGCTGGGGTTGAGTCACACTTTTGTAATTCTAGCACTGGGTAGGTGGAGACAGGAAAATCCTTGGACTTGATGACCAGTTAGTACAGCTGGACTTGTGAGTCCCAGGTTCAGTGAGGGACCTTGTCTCAAAATGTAAGTCAGAGAGCAGTTGAGGAAGACACCCAATGCTGACTTTAGGCATAATACATCTGTGCACCAGCACGAATTCATGTACATTCACAGAGTTTCAAAGGGGTTGGGGAGGGAGGGCCAGCGAGACAGCTCAGTGGATCAAGGCCCTTGCTGCCAAGCCCTGAATTCAATTCCAGAGACTTACAAAGCAGAAGGAGAGCATCGATCCCCACACCGTCTCTGATTCCACAAGTATACTGTATGACAGGAGTGAGCCCAAATACATACGTAC